GTTAAAATGTCTATACTGCCTAGAGCAATCTACACTTTTAATGCCATTCCGATCAAAATTCCACCGGTATTCTTCAAAGAGCAAGATAGGTTTTTATTTCTCTTTTGAGTTCTTTTCTGACCACTTGGTTGTTCAGGAGTGTGTTTTAAACTTGTATTTCCATAATTAGTCAAGACTGAGTCTGAAACCTGAAACATTTCTATCATTTCAAGAAGTTCTTTCGTGCCCTTATCCAATCAGGGCCGAGGGGACCACGAGCGAGGTGATTTCCTCAAACGTTATAAAACATTCTTGTTCTTTAAATTCATAAATGGAAACAAATTCTAAGAACTGTGTTGCTGGTGGCTTCTTTTACTCAAGGGAATGCTTTTGAGAATTTCCATGGGGTTACATGCTTATTTCTTTTTATTTCTAGATATTGTTTAGTATTCACATGTTCATGGTCATTGGGGCTGTTTCTAAGTTTTTCATAATTACAGATTAAACAGCTAAAACATTTATCCAAGTCTCCATGTGGCCATGTGCCTACTCGCTCTCTGTTTAGCTTTGTACAAATTGGCTTTTCTTTCAAAGTTGGTCTGCCATTTCGCTCTGCCATCTGCTCTTTGATAAGCAGATGTTTAATTTTTATGGTTTGATTGATCAATTTTTTATGCCTATGCGTTTTTTTCTCCTGCCTAAAAAAATTTTTTTGCCTTCCCCAAGGTAATGAAGATATTTTCTGTGTATTCTTTTAGTTGTTTTGTCCTTTCAGACATTTAGGTCTACACCTCATCTGGGATAATTTATGTATATGGAATGAAGTGAGGACTACGTTTTGATTTTTGTTTTGCTCTTTTTTCTTACCCTGAAATTCAGTCATTTCCGTACCATCGGTTGGAAAGACTTTCCTTTCCTCATTGATTTGCAAGGCAACCTTATGGAAATTGATGGTACTGGATACAGATGTGACTGTTTCTGGAGTTTATATTTTTTATTGACCTATATACCTACCTTTTTGCGGTAGCATTTTTTTTTCATTATTGTTACTTTATAGTAATTTTGAGTTCAGGTGTTTAATTCACCCAAATCTCTCATATGATTGTTTAGATCTTTTCATGTCCTGATGATGTCTAGAATTAGCTTCCCAATTTCTACACACATCCTGTTGGAGTTTTTTTTATAAAGGTACATTGAATCTATAGATAAGTTTGGGAAATCAAAATTACAATATTGAATCTTTTTATCCATGAAATTTAATGTATTAAATTTACTTAGATTTATTTTAATCTTATCTCTTAATGTTTAGAATTTTAAAGTATAAGGTACTTCCTCATCTTTTTAAAAATTTAATTCTTAGTGTTGATTTTAAGCATCTGTGTTTTGATACTATTAAAATAAAATGTAATTTCTTATTTTTTGCAACTAATATAAAGAAAAACAATTAATTTGAGAACTTGCTAAATGTACTTATTAGGTTTGTAGACCTTCTGTAGATTTAGTAAGATTTTCTCAGTACTCCGTCATGTCATTTGCAAATGAAGAGTTTCATCATCCTTTTCAAATCATTAGATCTTTTATATATTTTTCTCACATTATTACACTGGTTTGGACCTCCAGTACTATGTTGTATAGAGTGGCCAGAGTGCTTATTCTAGGGAAAGAGTTCAATATTTCACAAAGAGGTATGATAGTGGCTTTAATTTTAAATAGAAACAGAGTTTTTAAAGAAAATCAATGGATATTGATTTTTACAAATAATTTTTACACAAATATTGAGATGAGTAGATTACATTTCTTCACTTATTTGACTAATTTGGTGAATTATGTTAACATTTTCAAATAGTAAATTAGTTCTGCATTCTTGGAATAAATCCCTTTTGTTATGAAATATTATTATTATTTTTTACATATTGCTGGAATATAGATTTTTCATGAAATAGGCTCGAGAACATTTTGGAGATGATAGAAGAAAGGACTGATGACTTGGGAAATAAATCAATAGAAATAAGTTGATCTGAAGAAGAAAAAAAGTTAAAATTAATCAATTCTGTGAGATTTTCAAGACAATATCAAGTAGTCCAATGATTAGAATATCAGAAGGAAATGAAGAGATAAAGAGAAAGATAAAGATAAAGAAGAAAATATTTTAAGAAATAATACCTGGAAATTTCCCAGACATGGTGGAAGACAATAACGTACAAAGTCAAGATGTTCAACAAATCACAAGTAAGAAACATACAAAAGCATGTGCAAACACACCATTCTCAAACTGATGCAAGCCACAGGTAATGAGAAAGCATTGAAACAGGAGGAATCTGACACGTTACGTGGAGTAAAATGGCGACGCCATTAATGGCAGCATGGGCATCAGAAACTAGGGAGGACAGAGACTCAGAAAGTGGCATGAGGGAAGATGAAGAGACGTACCCCGTTGCCTAGGAATTTTTTATTCAGGAAAACTAAATTCCACAAATAAAGGCAAAATGAAGAAATTTTCAGGTAAAGAAACATGAAGATAGTGGCTGGCAAGCATGTGCTTTAAGAAACACTAAGGGAAGGCTGACGGAAAACGAAACCCACGGGAACTTGGATGCGTAGGAGGGAATGAAGAACATGGTGAGAACACAGGAGAGAATGAGCTGAATGTGGTGAGTGCGAGGTTAAATAGAAAAGAGTATATATACATACAAAAGTATTCTCTAAATTTCCCTAAAAAAGGCATATATGCTTGTCTGAAAATTATAACAACGTTGTTAGTGAACTTAAGTAAATGCAGCTCTGTCGTTGCAACTTTCCTACATTTTACTGGAAATAATTCAGTATTAAGTTGAAGTAGAGTGGGTGACGTTAACAAAGCATGCTGTGATCCTAGGCCAACAGATAAAACAGTGTGCAAGGGAAATCGCTAGGAAGCCAGTAGTCGTGCTGCTGTGAGACTAACTTCTACATCTCCGCTCCTCTTCGGACTGACGTGGGTCCCCACGAACGGCATGGTAGTTCAGAGAAGCGGTCCTGAGTCCATGTCTTCTCTCCTTCTCCCTCTCCCGCCTGTGCTTGCTCTCTCTCTCCCCCAAATAAATAATCTTAAAAAAAAAAATACAAAGATGCGTCTGAAAGAAGTGGAGTGGACATACAAGGATGTGGGAAGAGGGTAGGGCTGAGGAAGGAGGGTGCTATCGGGTTTGAACGTGAGTGCTTGTGTGCCTTTGAAACAGGGTGCACCCTGGAAAGGGTCATCTCTGCTCTTGAGACAAAAGCAGGGAAGGCGAATCCCTGTGTTCTTACTGTACATCTCACCGGGAGACTTTAAAAGCATGAATCTGAGCTCTGTGATCTGGGGTGGGTCACTTAAACTCTATGAGGCCCGGTTTCCTCTTCTATAAAATTGTTAACCCTTTTTTAACCAGGTTATTTTAAGTTTTCAAAGAGATTCAACGTGTGAAAATAGCGAATATAATATTTAGCACATAATGGGATTATTGTTTAAATCATGATCGCAGCATCTCTGTGTTCCCATTTCTTCTTCTGCTTTCCCCAAAGGAGTACTCACAGGTAATGACAGTTGGAAGTGCGTCCTGAAACAGCGCCCCGGGGACTGGGGCCCCTCAGAGACTGAAGCTGTTTCACGGAAGCAGATGACTCACCTCCTGGGGCCACAGGTGCAGAGGCTGTCTTGGTATCACCTGGGAGCATCACCGTTTGCTCAGAGAAGCATCTGAGACGGGTCTCAGGGCTCTTCCCCTGCAGGCGGGGTGGCACCGAGGCATCTGGGGCACGGCTGCTGAGAAGCAGGGTTCTCCTCCCCGTGAGCCTTGTCGGGTGAGTGGAGAGCCTCCCCCTGCCCGGTCTCCCAGCCTCAGCACTGCCTCACAGCGGATCTGTGCGCCGAGCGGTCCACCACTTTCCCGAGTCTGATGCTTCCATCTGCACTTGGCCTGGACTCACACGGAAGAGGCTCTGGGGAGGGCGGCAGAGATAAGGGACTGTGACAGAGCTCCGTGTTCATGGGTACGGATGTCCCACTGTGTCAGAGGGTTGTCATTGTTTGGGGGCCCTGATGTTGGATTAGGAGTCAGGCACTTTTCCTCTGGTCCTGTCTCTGTCCCCTGACCTAGAAAATAATATCCGACAAGCTGCCCCGCGTCCTGTTCTAACAGGGTGCGTCTGTGCCCACGTGTGTATTCTCACGTGGGTGTCTTAGGATGTCGGTGTGAACAGGAGTCCGGTGCGCCTTCTGCTAGTTGATGTGCTGTCCCGGAAGGCAGGTGTCTGTAACACGCCTGATGGACTTGTGGATGATGGACACGGTCATCGGGGCAAATACGGGTGCACAGAGTTTTGGACATGTGGACTGGGCGTGGTTGGGGATGAGTGCTTTACGTGTGGCATGCGTGTCTCTCTGTGTAGTGGGGGGGGGCATGTGTGTGCACGCTGTGTGTCCTCGCACACGGGCACGTACCTGCACGCGAGTGAGAGCAGGTCCGTACGTCTATGTGTTAGGTGCTGTCGATCCCTTCCTGAGGTCTGGTTGCCGTCCCAATGAGAGGTTTCTTTCTGAGTTACAACAGGCACAAAGAAAGGGGAACCCGCCTCATCCTGCTGTCTAAGGAAGCGAGGCACCTGCCGGCCAGGCGGAAAGCATCAGCACGTCGATCGGGGTCCCCTCAGGATGGGCCAGGCCAATGCAACCGCCTGGAAGGGTTTTGTGTTCCTGGGCTTCTCCAGCTTTGGGGAGCTGCAGCTCCTGCTCTTTGCCCTCTTCCTGCTTCTGTATCTTGCTACCCTGACCGCCAATGTCTTCATTATCGTGGTCATCAGGCTGGACAGCCACCTGCACACCCCCATGTACCTCTTCCTCTCCTTCCTGTCTTTCTCCGAGACCTGCTACACGTTGGGCATCATTCCTCGGATGCTGTCCAGCCTGGTCATGGGGGGCCAGGCCATCTCCTATGCGGGCTGTGCTGCCCAGATGTTCTTCTCTGCTTCCTGGGCCTGCACCGACTGCTTCCTTCTGGCTGTCATGGGCTTCGACAGGTATGTGGCCATCTGTGTCCCGCTGCACTATGCCAGCCGTATGAGCCCTGCCTTTTGCTCCCAGCTGGTCGGCACCTCCTTCTTCAGCGGGTACCTCTTCGGGCTGGGAATGACACTCGTCATTTTCCGCCTCCCATTCTGCAGCTCCCATGCGATCCAGCATTTTTTTTGTGACACGCCTCCCGTGCTGAGCCTAGCTTGTGGGGACACAGGCCCGAGTGAACTGGGCATCCTTACCCTCAGCCTGCTGGTGCTCCTTGTGTCTTTCTCCCTCATCACCGTCTCCTACGCCCACATTCTGATGGCAATCCTGAGGATCCCATCCGCTGAGGGCCGGAAGAAGGCCTTCTCCACCTGTGCCTCGCACCTCGTGGTGGTCGTCATCCACTACGGCTGCGCCTCCTTCATGTACTTGAGGCCCAAAGCCAGTTACTCCCTGGAGCGGGACCAGCTCATCGCGGTCACCTACACCGTGGTGACCCCCCTACTCAACCCCATCGTTTATAGTCTGAGGAATCGGGCCGTGCAGACGGCCCTGAGAAGTGCCTTCCAAGGGAGATTGCTTCTTAGAGGATGAAGGCTCCCCCAGTGGCACCGTCTCTTCTGCGCAGGCTGGACGGAGACCAGGAACCCAGGAAAACGGGCCAGATGCTCAGGGTCTCAGATCAAAGCTGTCCTCCCCCTGCAAACCCCTGGGAGAGCCCTGTCCTGCTGCCTGCACTTGCCCAGGGCTGCTGGGGAATATGGAGCAGGGTTCCCCCCTCGGTTGACTGTGTTTAACTTGCACTGAGCTCGGAATCTGAACTCCCACTTTCTCACTACCACTGCAGAAGTCCAGCTCCTTAAGAATTTCCCAGCTCTGTTGAACAAGCCGAGAGCAATCTGGCCTGCTCGAGTTCAGAGCCGCTCTGGCTGGAGTCCGATCCGGGGGTGTGGTACAGAGTTTTAAATTACTGCATAGTTAGACTACCCCACCTCTGATGCTCTTCCAAGATCTGAAACTCAGTGGGAATCCGTTTGAGTGGTTAGCTTGCATGCTCTGTTAAATGAAAAGGTGGGCTGTTTTCTCTGCTCCATGAGGTTCTTTCCCCTTTATTATTATTTTTGTATCACTGTCCTCTGATTCATTGTCACTTTGTGCTCTTCCTTGTCATTGGCTTTCCCAGTTGGTAGATTGTATCTCAGAGAAGACGTAGATCTCCTGTTTTCTTTGATACTCGTCATTGCTCCGTGACGGCCTCATAATCTTGGGTGTTGAGGACCTCCTCGCTTGTCTCCCTCCCTAGCGTGGATACCGTCCTGTGGGATCTGCTGTGGACATGTTCTCCCATGGAGTTCACTTCCCACCTGCAGTATATGGTGCTTGGTCCCGGCATGCTTAGGGACCAATGAAAGGGTAAAGAAGCCACACGACTGTCAGGCCCTGTGACTTACTGTGTGATGCTAGGTCTCTGCCCCCATGTCCTCATCTGTAAAATGGTTGTAACCTTGCAGTTTTGCATTGATTACTGAACAGGACCATGCATGCAAAGAATTTAGCACCAGACCTGGATCATAATGATCTTCTAATAGGTGTGAGCTGAGTTTACCGTTAAGGTGCTACGCAGAGTGATACTGGCTTTTAGTTTAGGGAGAGGTTAATTGCACGGAGAATCAGAGGTTTCATGTCTAATGTTGTACTCGAATGTGTTCCTGAAGGGTGGGTAAGTCTTGACTGCAATTAAGTGGGAAGAGAGTATATTCCGAAAGAGGGAACAGAGTAACTGAAGCTTTGTGGCGAGAGGCAGTCTAGGCCTGCTTCAGAGTGTGGGGAGCTGTCCAGAGGGACTGAACTGTGTCCCAAACGATGCTGTTATTTGGGTGAAGACTTCTTCACAGACAGGAGGTTTAATACCTTGTCTCAGACTTGATTCCTTCATCAGGAAGAGTAAGCCTCTGAGCAGAGATTAGAGTGGCATCTGGGAACCGATTTCGGAAGATTAATCCAGCTGCAGAGAGGATGACAGAGCCCGGCAGAGAGGAAACAGAGGCAGGGATCAGTAAGGAATCCACTGCCGTCGTCCTAAGCAAAGACATGGGGACCAGAACATGGAAAGTGGGGCTGGAAGATGAAGAAGATGACAAACAGAAGAGATTTTGAAAATGCAGGATTCGCATAATTCAGCAATGAGGGAGCAGTGGGGCATGATTTGAGAGAGAGAACTTACACTAAGGGGATATTTTTCTCAAATAGGAATCCATCTTTTTTTCCATGCCCTCAGGGAAGAATCATAGCCTCTAGTTAGAACTTCATGGAAACTAAATTCGGGAGGAAGGAAGCCAGAGGCCAGAGAAGAGAACAGGTTGGAGAGAGGTAGGAGAGTCAGTCAGATGGCAGAAAGGGCCTGGGTCTCAAGCAGTAGGGATCACGAAAAAACTCAGGGATGGAGCTGTAGGGCGGGGGCTTAAACACAGGCTCTAATCTATAGGTTGTAAAGGAAAAGAATTAGTAAGAATAAGTCAGGGGTTTCAGTTTAAAGTAAGTGAACAAAAGGTCAAGGGAAGATGAGTACCGGGAGGAGCTTAATAGCAAATCACAAGGAACATTTGATAAAAGTGCTAATTGTTAGAAGTTGAATATTTATAGACCCAACCAAGTTACGTATGCTGCTTCTGCATTTCCATTTCTGCTTGCGTGCCTAGGTGGTCAGGATGTGACTTCAGAGGGAGCTGTATTTGACGCCAACGGTGTCATCTTCTTATCGCATTTCGTTGGTTCTTCAGACAAATACTATCTTCTCTGGCCTTTATACTATTCAATCTCTTTCATAAGATGTTAACAGCCCTTTGCCAAAAAAGTATTTGCCATAAAAAGTATTTCTTCACCTATCACATGCTTAATAATCTGATTTAGGTCTTGCAGATACTTGGCGGGGGTTGGGAGGAGAACACAACCATATTCACCTTGCCTTGGTTATTACAAGCACAAATTTGTTGGAGTCCCCATACTTCTTGGTAAGTGTGCTATCAATGACACTGATTTTTGATGTTTTTTTTTTTTAAATGCAACCATTCTTGGTAATTCATAACCAAGTTTTTAAAAAAATACTTTCAATTGTCATGTTCAATAGGATCCAACTGTTCAAGCAAAAATCAGTAAAAGGCACTTATACGTTATTAGCAACAGAGACAGCATTTTAGATTTAACCAAAATTCGTTTGAATGGTTTCTGAAAGAATTTGTCCCTGACTGAGGAAGGATTACTTTTTGTGCAAAGGATGAGATTGAGACAAAGTGGTAGTCAGGTGGGAATATTCATGGACTGGCGGTGAAGGCAGTGCAGGATACCAGCAGTCTCACACAAGGCAGAGATGTGATGGAAGGATTTTCACTGGCAAACAACACTGTCGACTTCTACAAATCCAGACAGAATGTCGGCATTGGCCTGAACACTCTTTGGAGACAGCACTCCCTTTTCTTGTTTGTTTGTTTTTTTCTTAATTCCTTATTTTGTAAATCTAACTCTTAGTCTAATAGGAGGCAGAAGTCAATCAAAACCTCCTTTTCATAACATTAAAAGGTAAGCATGAGTGTGGGGCCAGGGAGGGCAAAGGAAGCTCTGCCCAGCCACAGCCTCATCGTTCTGAGATTAATGGTGTCCTCTCTAATGGAGAAGTATAGAGAAGGGGCAGGTTGAGAAGAGCACAAGCGCTGGTCTTCTTCCTCTTCCATAGATAAAATACTGGGTTTCTCCAGATCGTCAAATATCTTCATTTTCAAATGTAAGAATTTATACGCATTGCAAACCTCAAGAGAAACCATTTGTGAGTTACAGATGTGAGTCCTGGACTTTATCCATTCCGCCATGACCCTTGTTTGTGGTGTGACTAGCTGTCTGCCTCTAGAGAACAATGTAGTTCTCAGAAATACAGACGCTCACGTGTGTCAGTAACATTTGACTTCACAGTGCCTTATTAAAAAGAAATACTTTAAAAAATGAACTTTTTCTTTTTAAAAGGAAATGTTTTATTTTAAAATCAAAACAAAACAAAGGAATACAGATGTGTAGAATCCAACAAAGAAAAAATGGAGAGCTTGTCCCCAGAGTAGTGACAGGTTGCATACAAAACGAGCCTGTGATGCTTCCTCTCCCCCAGCTCTGGGAATGCCTTCTACTCCCCCAAGCCTGAGACTTGTCCAGGTGTTCTAATAAGTGTAATAAACACCCCCCACACACACACACAAGACTATCTCCCTCCTCCCCCATACCTGCTGTCTCCTTCCTCCCCCAGTACTTCCCACCACACCAAGATTTGCTATGATTCAGGAAAAGCTGCTTCTCCGTTTCCAAAGAAGGAATTGGTGAAACCCACATAGTCATAGCCAGCAAGATGGCTTTTGCCTCGTGGGTCCACATACTGCTGCATATGTGAGGCACAGAACTGCACTTGTTCTGGGGTTAGGGCCTGAAAAAAAGCAAAAAGAGATACAGCCATTGGGATTAAAAACAGCTGGCTCCTTGGGGCTGGCAACATGCCCTGAACCTCGGACCCAGGGGGCAGAGAGACGGGGGAGCAGCAGCCCGCCCTGTTCCCATCACAGACCTTCTCAGAAGTCTGTAATTTCTAATGCGTACGCCCAGCTCATCTTCTCAACTTAGCCCTTACCTGAGGAGTCCCATCTCACTTGGACTACACACTTCATCCCATTCCCTAAATTTAGGTTATTCAAGAAGTGGGAAAAGAAATAGCCTTAAAAATTGAGTTTCAGATTTGGAATTGACCCTTACGGTCATTAGAGAATGACTTTAATTTTCAAGCTGGGATAACGCAAAACGAAATGGTGAGTGAAGCACGTGGTAACTTATGTAGGACAATGTATGAGCAACAACAACAAAAAGATGTATGGGGGAGGGTAGCTGCCAACGGTGGGCCGCCAGGCTCAAGACAAGCTCAGTGACAGTGGACGCAACTGGAATCTGACCTGCTTCATGTCCTCTTTGGTAATATAGGCCTTGCCTTCTGCCAGGGCTTGGAAAGCATTCTCGATTTCATCACTGGACTTGATGTTCTCGGACTCCTTGTCGATCAGGAATGAGGTGTAGTCTTCCAGGGAGACATAGCCCTTCCTGTGGGAGAGATGGGCTCCCCACTCTGAGACTGTGGGCTGCGACCTCTACTTTGACCCCACTCCTCATGCCCTTGCAGGAAAGTAAATGCCACTTCCCAAGCCCCAGCCTCCGTGCCCACATGAGCCCTCTGGCTGGACTCTCTACACAGTCTGGGAGTCTTCATCAGTACCCGTTCCCAAGCACTTCAAGTTTTTCAAGATTCTGTCATCTTTGGCGTTAGAAAGAATTCATCCCTAACAGTGGTGGGATCTCTCCATGACTCTACTCTACCCCCACAGTCACACGACCCCACTCCTGTCAGTCGGCCTCCAAATCATGCAGGTCTCCTTACGACCTTACACACATGGAAGGATTCTTCTGTCAAGGTCCATTCTCAGAACAAGGTAAGATTCATAGATCAAGCAGAAAACAGGGACTGAGGAAATGACAGAGGCTGTGCCTGAGTTGGAGTCAGTGCCATGGACTTCTGAGCTAATCCTGCAAGGCACCAAAACCTGCCCAACTCATGTAGGATAGTCTGTGTCTTCCTATTCTCATGATGAGTTGGTACGGTGTTCCATGGATCATTTTACCCTCTGTGCTTGTTCCTCCAAACCCCATCCCCTATGATGGTCTGGCCCTTGGTCTTCTTCTTACCTCCCCGGATCGACGACATCCAAGAACTTCTCAAACTTGGGCTCAGGTTCATCCTCCTCCACCATGGGCAGGTAGTAATTGAGCCCTCTCAAGCAGGACCGGAAATCTTTGTGGCTCAGGCGCCCGGTCAGATTCTCATCAAAATGTCTGAAGAACAAAAACATTTTATCAAGTTCAATAACGAACCAGGTTAGAATAGAAAAGAACAGTTCTTTTCAGGTCAGCTGAGGCTTTAACTCATCACAGGTCATCAGAGAATGAAGTGGGGAGCTTGCCCCTGTTTCTGAATTATTTTTAACCCAGTGAATGGAGCAAAGACAGTAAAATGTTGAGCATGGGAGAAATGTATTTTCTGAAGTCCAGGAATCTCATTGAAAGCCATGACCTGAAGGTAATTAAGACCTCTAGGTTTTCATTTAAGATCCTACCACACCAACACTGAGGAGAAAAAATTACTTATTTGGAGATTCATTCTGAATGGGTGGGAAAATAAAGAACTGACTAACTATGAAGTTATACTATGAAGTTATACTCACTTATATGTTGTGCTAAACTCCTTTAGTGTCTCCTCACTCACACCTATGGTGTCTCTGAAAGGAAAAACATGCATTAACCCAAGAAATAAAACAGAAAAGTAGCAAAAGACATGCCATGTGGAACAGAGAGGGATGCTAGTGGGTATTAGGCTACTCGGTCATCTAATTCAGGGGTTAGCAAACTATAGCCTATGGGCCAAATCTAGTCTGCCACTTGCTTTTGTACGGTTTAGTGAGCTATGAATGGGTTTTACCTCTTTACATGGTTGGAAATGATCAAAAGAGGAAGTGTTCCATTAAATATAAAAATTGCATGAAATTCAAATTTCAGTGTCCATAAATAGAATTTTACTGAAACATGGACATGCTCTTGAATTTGTGGGCTGTCAATAGTCTGTTCTCTCTATGACAGTGAGTGAGTAGTCACAGCAGAGACCACAGGACTCACCACAGCTGGCACATTTATGATCAGTCAGTCTCTCTATAGGAAAAACTCTCCAATCCCCAATCTAGACAATAATGCTGCCATTATTACCAAGACCTAAAGCTGCTTTGATGTAATTAATTTATTTAGAAAAAAAAAAACACATGAATTCTGCTCTTCTGGCTCTACACCTTGAATATTTCTTGCATTCTAGACAATTGAGAGGGACTTTATAAAAGGGATGGTATCCTGAAGGGACTGCCTAAGATGGAGAAAGGACTCTGAGAACTGGGTGGTGAGTAGCTTCAGGGGGATGGGAACATGGTCTTCTGTTTTATAATAGACTCCCAAATAAAAATAGTCATTCTGTGGGACAAAAAAGAGACAAAGAGAATTTTGATGCTGGAGATAGTACGTGTCCTATCATCCAGCACCCTGATCTCTAGATCCTGGGGCTAAGTTCCAACACCTAATCCCACCCACACCCTGCAACCCCGATCATGGGTCTGCAGTACTTGGCTTGGATCTGTTGTTCCAGGTTGTGCTGCATCCTCATCCCCAGCTGGTGGAGCTGGTCCCACTGCTGGGCCAGCCCGATGGTGCTGTACTTAATGTCCAGGACCAGTGCCTCCTCCAGGCTGTCTCCCAGATCCTCAATCTTGGTCAGCTGGCGCTTCATGGCCTGGATCTCCTTCTGCTTCCGCTAGAAAAGCCAAGAAGGAGAGACCAGTCATGCAGGGTATTGGCCTCAAACCAAGGGATGGTAGAGAAGAAGCTAATGAGCTTGAGTTTCCTCTAATTGTTTTCTTTCTTTCTTTCTTTCTTTCTTTCTTTCTTTCTTTCTTTCTTTCTTTC